CCGAATTTCTGAATTTCTGAATTTCGGAATTTCTGAATTTCTGAATTTCCAAATTTCTGAATTTCAGAATTTCTCTTCTTTCTAAATTTCTGGATTTCTCAAGAATCTCAGAATCCCAAAATCTCAGAATTTCCGAATTTCTGAATTTCGGAATTTTTGAATTTCTGAATTTCTGAATTTCTGAATTTCTGAATTTCTGAATTTCTGAATTTCTGAATTTCTGAATTTCTGAATTTCTGAATTTCTGAACTTCTGAATTTCTGAATTTCTGAATTTCTGAATTTCTGAATTTCTGAATTTCCGAATTTCTGAATTTCTGAATTTCTGAATTTCTGAATTTCTGAATTTCCAAATTTCTGAATTTCTGAATTTCTCTTCTTTCTAAATTTCTGGATTTCTCAAGAATCTCAGAATCCCAAAATCTCAGAATTTCCGAATTTCTGAATTTCGGAATTTTTGAATTTCTGAATTTCTGAATTTCTGAATTTCGGAATTTCTGAATTTCTGAATTTCTGAATTTCCAAATTTCTGAATTTCAGAATTTCTCTTCTTTCTAAATTTCTGGATTTCTCAAGAATCTAAAGAATCCCAAAATCTCAGAATCCCAAAATCTCGGAATTTCCGAATATTTGAATTTCTTAATTTCTGAGTTTCTGAATTTCTGAATTTCTGAATTTCTGAATTTCTGAATTTTTGAATTTCCAAATTTCTGAATTTCAGAATTTCTCTTCTTTCTAAATTTCTGGATTTCTGGATTTCTGAGATTCAGAACTTCAGAATTTCAGAATTTCAGGATTTCAGAATTTCTCTTCTTTCTAAATTTCAGCTTTTTAGAATTTCAGATTTTTTCAACTTTTTTAATTACACATTTCAAATCATTTTGTTTATTTCATGTAAAATTTTTACAAATAAAAAAAATCTGAAAAAAAATGTACAATAGAGCGAGAATGCAGGGATTCATTTCAAAATTTTTGAGTTTAAAACAATTATCACTATAGAGATATATATAGTGGCAAAAAAGGGGGCGGAGCTTAGATGTGGAACAAAGATACGGTTTGGGGGGTCCACGGGAAATATTAAATTTCAAATTTTCAATGGAAGTTGAAATTTCTTTTTTCAAGGTGAAAAATTTCACGTGACAATGACAATTGCCTACCGTAAACTTTAAACTTATATATCTCAATTCCTGTAGAAGATATCAATAAGTGTTCAACTGATAAAATATTAATGATATGATGATAAACATTTTATCAGTTCATCACTTTTTGATATCTTATACAGGAAAAATGTTTGTCATCATATCACCAAAACTTTTGTAATTTACAGTTTTTAGATTTTTTCAACAGAAAATTAGATAATTCAGCTCAAAGTGCAAGCTAACGGCTGAGCTACGCGGTTGCTGCCGATGTGGTTTGAGCTCGATTATCTCAGCTTCTATTAGAGATATCAAGAATCTATTAACTGATAAAATGTTGGTCATAAAATCATTAACATTTTTTAAAAATTACAGTTGACAGAACTCGAGATAATTGAGCTAACAGAACTCGAGATAATTGAGCTAACAGAACTCGAGATAATTGAGCTAACAGAACTCGAGATAATAGAACTCGAGATAATTGAGAACTCGAGATAATTGAGCTCAAAGTGAAAGCTACTCCTGTACTTTTAACCGCACCTTTGGTCTCAATGACTTGAGTCAGAAGACTTTTATACTGGACCAATTTTCTTCCAGATGTCTGAAAACTTTTCTTGATCTTTCTCAATTGTCTTCCAGATCTGATTCTTCTAGATGTTTGAAAAGATGTATTCCTTGATGTATTTTCAATTCTTCCACATGTCTGAAAAGTCTTCTAGATCTTTCATTTTTCTTCCTGATCTCCACAAATGTCTTCCAGATCTATGGACACTTTTCTTCTAGATGTATGCTCAGAACAATCTTATGTATATAAATAGTCAGTTTTTCCAGCCTACTGACTACCCACGCTGTCAAAAGCGTCGCCTGACAATCAATAGAGACTGTATTTGCTGTGTTAGTATCAAACTTTGAGCTTCATTATCTCAGTTCCTGTGAAAGATATCAAAAATCTGTCAATTGATAAATATTTATCATAAGATTACGCATATTTTATCAGTTGACAAATTTTCGATATCTCTCATAAAAACAGAGATAATTGAGCTCAAAGTAAAGCGTCAAAATGCACACTTTCCCGGTACCTGCAAAAAATGTTCCGTCGTTTGATGTTACACATTTTTCCTTGATCTTAGATTCTTTTTTTGCTCTTTTTCGCTCTTCGTGCATTTTACGTGCTGATAGTAGTGAGCGAGAAAATCTGAGCCGCTTGGCTCAGATTTTCTTGCTTAAAAAAAGGAAAACAAGATGAGAAAGAAGGCAAAAATCACGGACGACGAAGAAGAACCAGGAAGTGGAAGTGCAGGAATTCTAAGAATTGAACACTTGAACTTGAATTTCTGAATTTTGGAACTTCAGAGTTTAAGAATCTTAGAATCTCAGAATCTCAGAATCTCATAATTTCTGAATTTCTGAATTTTCGAATTTCTGAATTTCTGAATTTCTGAATTTTCGAATTTCTGAATTTCTGAATTTCTGAATTTTCGAATTTCTGAATTTCTGAATTTTTGATTTTCTGAATTTCTGAATTTCTGAATTTCCGAATTTCCGAATTTCTGAATTTTCGAATTTCTGAATTTCTGAATTTCCGAATTTCTGAATTTCTGAATTTTTGATTTTCTGAATTTCTGAATTTCTGAATTTCCGAATTTCTGAATTTCTGAATTTCTGAATTTCTGAATTTTTGAATTTCTGAATTTCTGAATTTCTGAATTTCTGAATTTCTGAATTTCTGAATTTCTGAATTTCTGAATTTCTGAATTTCTGAATTTCTGAATTTCTGAATTTCTGAATTTCTGAATTTCTGAATTTCTGAATTTCTGAATTTCTGAATTTCTGAATTTCTGA